TGTTGTGGTGATATTTTATATTATTTAAACTTTAAGAAATAGTGATATTCAGAGGCAATGTATATTACCCATTTCCAGTTTCTAAGAGTTAATAGCCTGTTTAAATAGGTCAGTTTGGAGACCCTTTTCATTGTATTTAGTATCTTGTTATCTTTTATTTTTCTGATTTTATGTTAATTTTTACTTTTGCTGTGACCAACTAATGATCTAGCTGCAAAGCAGCTGATTTTAAAACCTGTGCTTGTAACCAGTTGTTTTCCATCAAGATGTTTCGTTTTCACTTCTTGTGACCTGTTTCTATACAGTACCTTTAAGCTGTATTCTTGAAGAAAGTATGCATGACATATATAGGTGTGAATCTTCTGAAGTATCTACAAGCCATTAGCCACTTGGCTTTCTTAATTCTGAACAATATTGTCCAACATTTTTGTTTGCCCTGGCCTGTGCCCACCTTCATATTAGTATCATCTCCTAAAAAGTTATGTGATGACTTGGTCCTTAGAGGATATTGTTAAGTTCTTCATAGAATTTCTGTACTTCAGCTGCAAAAGATATTGGTGCAGTTTTGCAATCAGTCAAAAAAGTGCTTTGACAAAAAATGAGATTTAGTGGGTAGTTGATAAACTTGTCCCATGAAGTTCAAAATTCAATTTCTGTTCAACAGACATGTAATAGTAATAACCTAATTTTTATATCCCTTCATGGTTTAAAAAGAGCCTTTTGTAGTTAACTAAGTTGAACCTTACAGCAGCCTTATGAGATAGGCAGTGCTGTTAGCTAAATTTTATAGAAAAAGAAAATGATATTCAGAGAAATTAAATAATTTGGCCAATTCATGTACCTAAAAACTGGACTAGAACTCAGGTCTAATGATCGCAGTGCCCTTTTTGTAACCTCATAATTTTATTCTATGTTAAGTGCTGTTTAGGACCACAAACGTGAAAAATGACATAGACCTTGAAGAAGTTTACAGTCTATTGGGCAGGTGAAGGGGTGAGATATGTACATAATTATAATTTTTCAGTAGATGCACAGTGTCATTTGTATGTCTTCAACTGGTCCAGCTCACAACTGTTATGGGCCACTCCTTTTATGAGATTCTTGTTCATTTTTTTAATAAACCCCTCCTTTAATGATCTGTGTCATATATCTCCCTTCCTTTGGGTCTTTTGTGATTTTAGAGGCACAGTACAACATTGGGGCATCATGTTATAACTGAAATGCCAGTTAGACTATGATTGAGTGCTTAGGCAGCACTGGACTGTCATTAGAGATTGGAGCAGGGAAGTATCAAGGATTATATAATTTAGAGAATGAAGGGCTCCTCGATACCATGTAGTCTGAGCTCACAAATTTTGCACATGAGGGAACTGTGTTGAAGAGAGGCGAGGTGAATTGTGTAGGATTACCTGTTGAGTGGCAGTACCAACATTTACATGAAGGCATTCTGACTTCACATCCTGGTGGGTAGGAGAGCGGAGATTGGGGAAGACTTCATGGTGTTCAGCAGTCAAAAATGTGAGAGATCCTGCTGGGGACAGGGGATGGTATAGAACACATTTATGGATATTGGAGAAAGGACAAATTGGAGAATGGCCACTTTACTCTGGAATGAACAGAGAGAATGTGAAGTGGATTGATGTGAAATTAGCCTGGGACTTTGAATTTTTTTTTATATGCCATAGTCACTAGATAGCTACTGAAGGTTTTTTCCAAGTCTTTTGGAAATATTTTTTTCTGTTCTCCAGTCTTTCCTCTTGAGGAAGACGATTGGCCAGAATTCACAATTAAAGAAAAAGCCCTATATGAGGAACTAATAGGACTGACACATACACACTGCTGCCATATGAAAAAGAGTGTTTTTAAAATAAGCTGAATGTGTTTTTGAGGTTTCAGTGGTATTTGTACTACTTCTCCATAGACAGTTCTTAACTAATTCATTATGTTATTCACTTTTTTTTTTCATTTTGGCTATGCTTTAATTTCTGAAAATGAAATGGATAATAGCACTTAATTTTGGGATTCTATAGCTACGTAAGTTATTTAGAGTTGACATAGATTTGGTACGTAAATCATCACTGTTTGGGGAAATTTTCTCAGCTTTTTATTTTTGGCTAATTTTATTATTTTCCTTTAAAAGTGGTACAGTGACTTTAAAAAGTGATATAGTAATGATTTCTATATCTTGAAATTCTCATCTCAAATTTTGTCTTTGGGCAAACAGAACTTGTGATTCTGTTACTGGCCTTCTATTGATTATACCAGACTTTCTCTCAAGTAAAATATGTGTTATTACCATGTGTGTAATATGTCTCCCTTATTTCAAGGAGCTTAAAACCTTTTTTATAGGCATTTTACTTAGTCATTGAACAAATCTGGAAAAATAATAGCTTATTACTATGAAGGCCATTTCATATGTATAAAGAAACTGAAGTGTAAAGAGTCACTAGCAGAATCAAAGACAAAGTTTAAGTAACCTAGCTCATAATTTGATATCATAGACTTTGTAGCTTCGTTTTGTCATGTGGAATGATAGCTACAGTTTTGGTAATGAGTCTCTCATTGAACTATGGGAAAATAAAAAGTAGAAAAAAATTTGACTGTAATACAGGTGATAAAAGTTTTTTAAGTAATCAACAACATGTTTGGGTTTTGTATAGCTCCTAAAAGTAGCATAGCTCCTAAAAGAAGTAGACAAACATGAAATTTGATGTATGAAGGGGCAGATGATAGAGATGTGGTTTCACTACATAAAAGTATCTTCATTTTGAAAATAAAAGGCCATTACATTGTAAGATAGAGTGACAGTCATTTTCAGGTTAATACAGTACCAAAATTTCCAAGATTGAGTATCTAAAACTGTCATAGTTTTTCTTGGTAAATTATCTTAGTAAACTTAAGATAAATTTAATTTTTAATAAATTTTCTTGTAATTTTATAATTTCTCTATTTAAATCAACTTAATGCTTTTACTTAAATTTAAAACAACAAACTTCCAGTTAATCATGTTCACTCTTTATCCCTATTTTTCTTTTTCTTTTTTTCCTTTTGGTGAGGCAGTCGGGGTTAAGTGACTTGCCCAGGGTCACATAGCTAAGTGTCTGAGGTCAAATTTGAACGCAGGCCCTCCTGACTGCAAGACTGGAGCTTTATCCACTGCGCCACCTAGCTGCCCCTCTATCCCTATTTTTCAAAGTAGAAGTCAGAAATATCACACTTAGTGTATAGTTTAGGTATTAAACACCCAATTTAAGCTTAATTCATCTAGATATTATTCATTTATTTGTAAAGTTTTAAAATTCAAATAGTAAGGCAGTTTGTTAAAATGAAACCTGAATTACTTTTCTTTTTTAACTATAGTAACTGTACAATCACTAGTCTGCCAGGCATAGTAACTAGTAGTTTCTACTTCCAGAGGTATTACCCTGGGAATTTGGGGTTCTCAAGTACAAATTTAAGAAGTGATATTATTACCCTCTTTTAAATTGCAAAATAAACAGTTATTTAGTCCTGCAAGAGCTCTTTGAGAGTAGGGATTGTTTCATTCTTTGTATTTGTGCCCTCAGCACCTAGCACAGTACTGGCTTATAGTAGTTGTTTAATAAATGTTGATTGATTGAGTTGCTGTTGTGGAGAAAAAATGTAACTTTTATCAAATGTAGCTTTATCTACTTGTGGTAGCTCATCATTAACTTACATACAGTAAGCTCCTTAAGGTTAGGACTGTTGGTTTTTTTGTTTTGTTTTGTTTTGTTTTTGCTTAGCACATACCTTATAGGAGATGCCTAATGATTGTTTAATTGCATGGAATTTTTGTCATGCAGATCAAAGTTAAATCCTCTAACTTTCAGTGGGTTTCCCTGGCAAAAAATTAGATGACCATTTATCAGTTATAGGATTCTTTTTCACATATGGGTTATATTGGAAGGCCCCTGAAATCCCTTCTAACCTTGAGATTCTATACTAGAGATTCTGAGATGCTGTCCTTCGAGATTTTTTTCTAGGGCAGATTGAAGTATCATAGATTGTAAATTGACATGCTTTTGCTATATTGCAATAGCTTTCAACCTTTATTACCTGCAATGATCTATGGAATACCATTGAACCTTTTCAGCACTAGGATGGAAGAGCTTAAGCTGGAAGTGCAGTGTATGTTATACTGCTTGATAAATCACTCTGCTACCTCCCTGCTTCCATGTAATCTAGGCATGAGTTGACAGTAGCAGTGGTTACCCCTAGTGCAGAGCTGATAGTTGATTAGTGTAGCTTTGTTTTTATTGATATTATTGTTATTATTTACTACTGCCTTCCCTACTCCTGTGGCAATCCTGTCCCTAGACAGTTCTCTGATACTGCTTTTCTACCCAAAAAAACTTCTTTGTGCCTAATCCTTTGTCAGGGAGGTTGAGCTTATTACTATTTCTTAAATACAATTATTTAAGAAATGATGATAATAACAATGAGGAAATTATAATAACAATATCTTTCATAGTGCTTTTCTACTTCAAAATCCATTTCCTCAAGATAACCCTGTCAGGAAAGTAGTGGAAGAAATACTGTCTGCCAATAGATGGGGAAACGTAGGTTCAAAGAAAGCATGACTTGCCCATAGTCCCATGGTTAGTAAATGATAAAGCCAAAACTTAAACCCAGCTCTTCTGACTTGATCAGTATTCTTTCCACAGGATGATATCTTAGTTAAAACATTATATTTTATCTTGAATTATCTCGTAGAAGTTCTTATGATATAATCTTTAACATAATGAAACTGAAACTAGAAATGCCCCCATTAATTGTGTTAGAAAGTTTGCTTTTCATTACTGTTTGTGAAGCTATATTTGCAATTTATTTGCAACAAATTTGTTTGGATTTTCAGGTAATACATTATTTTGTATCTTTTTTTATTTAATTAAAAATCTCACTGAATTTCTTTCTCTGATTTATATAGTGTTTAGTATACTATTGGTGCTTAGTAAATATTAAATATTTCCGTTTTAAAGCAGGACAAAAGGATCAAGCTGTGGAATGGTATAAAAAAGGAATTGAAGAGCTAGAGAAAGGAATAGCTGTTGTAGTCTCAGGACAAGGTAAGGTATTGTTCTGGCTTGTTGTACATCTTTTTAACATTATGCTTATTTATGAGGTTTTTCCCCTCATGGTGCTATTCATTTTTCCCTTGTTAAAGTTAGAAACCAAAATTTTAATACATGCTCCCCTCCAATTAATTATATATAACAAAACAGGGAGCAGTGGGTATGTAAAATCCTAGAGTAATTCTTGTCTGACTTTGCAATAGATTTCAGAGACTCTGGGATTTGAATATGTCCTTTATTCATACACAGTATTGTGACCAAGTGACAATGAGTGAGGAAAGTATATCCATGAAAGAGAGGGGATGTTCATCAGTGTCAGAAGCTGCAGAGAGGTCAGGAAGATTGAGAACTAAGAGATTTAGCAGTTGAGAGAGTTTGGTGACCTTGGAGAGAGCAGTTTAAATTGAGAGATTGAAAGCCAGATTGCAAAAAGTTGAGAAGTAAATGGGAAGTGAAGAAGTGCAGGGAATGAGATTAGACACCATTTTTTCTGGGTGTCTGGCTGTGAAAAGGAGAAAGAGAGACAAGTAGACCGAGAGAGACAGGAAAACAATAGCGTGAAGATCAACTGAAGGGTTTTGTTTTTGTTTTTGTTCTTGTTAAGAATGGGGAGACCTGGGTAGATTCAAAGACTAAAAAGAAGAGCTGGTGAGTAAGGGGAATGAAGGTTAGTGCACGAAGGATGGTGGAAGGATCAAAGTCCTAAATAATACAGGAGGCAGAACCTGAAGGACCTGGGTCCACCTTGACAAAGAGCAGAACTGCTTCTTTGTCGGAACTAGGAAATGATGTACAGGGAGAAGAAATTGACGTTCACAAAAATAGATTCTTTTCTCCTTTCTGGAGGAGAGATGGTTTGAAAGAACTGTTCAGAAGATTATAAAAGAGGATCAAGTCAGGGAAGAATAAAAGGATTTCGGTACAACAATGAGATCCTGATGAAAATTAGTAACAAGAACTTTTAAGTAGACATGTTTAATGTGCAAAGCCCCCCTTTATTGATTACTTACTTTATGCTAATGGTTTAAAATAAGATTTTGAAAAAGTGACTTAAGATTTATTTCAAAAGATTTGAATAATGCCATAACAGGCCAACTCCCATTAATCAATGGCAAGGCATAATCTAAATTATTTTACTATACTTGAACTTTCTTATATTAACTACTGATTTAAATAATATTTTTTAAAAAGTTATTTCATAAAGTTATTAGATTTATATTGTACACGAAACTCTAGGTTGTATCTCTGTAAAGAGACAGATATTTTAATGAATTTTGATTTTTTTTTTTCTTCTCCTAGGTGATCAGTATGACAGAGCTAGGCGCCTTCAAGCTAAAATGATGACTAATTTGGTCATGGCCAAGGACCGTTTACAACTTCTAGGTACTGTTAATATTTTGGGCAGTGGACTTAATGATAGCTCTGTAAGTTTTAGTTTACATGAATTTAAAATTGTGATACCAATTTTTAAAATGTATAAGAACTCAGACTTTTAAGTTTAGCCACTTATAGCTACTCCCCCCAATCACCACTCAAAAAAAAATTAAGTAAAATTGTCTCAAAGGTTTTCTATTTTTATTACTCTTTTGTTTAGGTTGAGGTAAGGGGGAGTTGGGAGGAGAGTGATTTTTTCATTGGTAGTTTAAAAATAAAACTTTTGAGGGGCAGCTTGGTGGCACAGTGGATAGAGCACTGGCCTTGGATTCAAGAGGACCTGAGTTCAAATCTAGCATCAGACACATAACATTTACTAGCTGTGTGACCCTGGGCAAGTCACTTAACCCCAAATGCCTCACCAAAAAAAAAAAAACTTTTGAAAAGCAGTAAAAGAAGCTCTGCATTGCCTAACTACTGAGACATGTTTCCATAACTTAAGGACTATAAGGACTGTCTGCCTGCCTTAATCAATGTTACTCCCTTACCTCCCACCATAAAACACTTACGTTCTATATGTGCTTCATTCAGAATGATTGTTATTGCATCATTATTCAAAAAAACTGTATCAGAGAATGTTGTTGCAAAGCTGTCCTTTAATAAACCTACTTTTCTTGTTCAACTTTGACTTTATTAGTAACATGAAACATACAATGTGAGTAAAATAATGACTGATTTCCTGCTGTAACTTATAAAAACAGACAGTTATCATAGCAGTGACATGCTAAAACATGTTTCAACTTACAGTAGCAGAATGGATAATTTTAAGTAGGAGGTTGTGTCTTTTATTTGAAGTGTTGTGGTAGAGTAGGCTAACCATCTTATCAGATAAAATCCCATCCAGAGAAAGTTCCTTTGTTTCTCAGATTTATTCTTGATCAAAAGGTGGTTTATTTAGGGGAAAGAGTTTTAAGTGATACTGAGCTCTATATAATGTTCCTATGGGTGAAAATTGGTTGAAATTTAACTTTGGGCTTGAATTTTGTTGTAAGTAAACATTTTGATTTTCTACTTTATAATAAAATTCATTCCTTTTGTTTTCAGTCATTCACTCTACAGTCAGTATACCTTGTGATTACTATAAACTGTAGGTCTATATCCACATATGTAAAGACTTTTGGGAAGCCACTTGGGATAGTAGGTAGAGAGCTATCCTTGGAGTTTGGAGGCCCTGCGTTCATTTTCTGCCTTGATGTGTAATCCATGTTTCATCCTGGTAAAGGCTCTTGACCTCTATGAATCACAGTGAACCCACTTAGTAAGTTACAGATGAGCTGCTGTTCTTAATCAGAGAAAGGAGCTGCCAGAGATCCTCCCTAAGAGCAATTCCTTATGTGGATAAAATCAGAAGTCCAGGACAAAAAAGAAATTATAAGCCCAACTAAAATATTAAGCATTCAAACTTTTCTTTTATCAGAATATCAGTGAACACATTTAATTTTGTAATATGCTTTAGTGATATACCAACTTTAAGTAAATTATAAAAAAAAATTTCATTATGAAGTCATGGCTTTTTATTTTCCTTTAGTAAAGGAAATACTTTGGAGATAGAAATAAAGTAAAAACTTAGATTTAGGCATAAAGAATGAAAGGATACAAATGGTGAAGGAAGTTTTTTGTAGTGGTCTTGCTCATTCCAGGTAAAAGAAATCATTTTGTTTGGAATTCCTTGAGGTTGTAGTTTTTTTGGGTGGGGAGTGGGATACTAAGATATATAGCAATCCCTACATTAGTACACTTGTTTTTTTTTTTTTAAGGCAATTGGGGTTAAGTGACTTTCCCAGAGTCACACAGCTAGTAAGTGTCAAGTGTTTGGTCTGAGGCCAGATTAGAACTCAGGTCCTCCTGACTTCAGGGTGGTGCTCTATCCACTGTTCCACCTAGCTGCCCCTACATTAGTATACTTAACAAAAGCTGAATATGCTAGGCTTTTAAAAAATGATTTTAATAAATTTAGAGAACCATAAGGAATAATGATAAAGAAAACCAAAAAACAGGATAAGCTCTTCCATCCATTTCAGGACTTCACAGAAGGACTGCCAGAGTCCTGAGGAAGCTCTGAGCAGAGATAAAATGCAGAAGGCAGAGTACTTAAGCAGCATAGACCAAGAGCAGGGGCCAGATCAGCATCCAGTTCAGGAAATAAGGCTAAACCAGTACTCAGGCATTGAAGTGCACAGGTAGCCCACATCTAAGCCTCAGCAAAAGAAAGAACTAGGAGGGGTACTGAGAAGCAAACTACCAAGGGTCTTTCAGGGGTTTTGCTATCAGCAATGTACATCAGGTGGGGGCTTGTCAGGCTTACAGCAAGGGACAGAGTCAGGTCCAGGTTTGGAGTCACGTATAAGGAGGACATAGAAGGAAAACAAGCCAAAATCAGTCCAGCCAGAGCCAAAACCCAGGAATTCTTTCAGAAGATGGGGCCTAGTCTGAGTCACCAAGCTCAGAGCTGGCAGCAGGACTTGTCTATACCATCTAAGAGAGTGGGCAGGAGCTGAATCTGATTCATGTATAAAGCTTCAGTCCAAAAGCTGAGTCTGGAGTTATGAGTAAACAGAAGAAAATCACATAGTGAAAGAGTTCTGTGGCCTGAGAAAAGCCCAAGGTATAAACTCAGAATTTGAGAATAACTCCACAAGTCCAAGTAAGGCCTCAGAGAAAATAATGTCCCAGCCATAAGCACTTCAAGAATACCTGGAAGAAGTGAAATGAGATACAAAATTTAATTTTTAAGGAAATGACAACGAGGGAGGAAAGAATGACCAAGAGAATTAATAACTTAGAATATAAGGTTTAAATCTTACTTGGAATTGAACTCCCTGAAAATTAGAACAAGCTAACAGAAAGCGACAACTTTATGAGATGGGTGAGAAGTATTAAAACTAAATCATAAGATTGAAAAAAAGGAAGAAAACAGAAGGTACATACTATCAAATGATAGCATCTATAAAGTGCTTGAAGTTTTGCAAAGAGCTTGACTTATATTAACTCATTTGATTCTCACAACAACCCTGTCAGGTAGGTGCCATTATTATCTCCATTGTATAGATGAGAATTTTGTTGTTCATTTGTTTCAATTGTGTCTGACACTTTGTGACCCCACTTGGAGTTTTCTTGGCAAAGATACTGGAGTGGTTTCCCGTTTCCTTTTCCAGCTCATTTTACAGATGAGGAAACTGAGGCCAACAGGGTCATAAAGCTAGTAAGTGTCTGAGGCCAAATTTGAACTCAGGAAGTTGAGTCTTCTAGGTCTAGCACTCTTATCCACTGTGCTGCCTAGCTTCCCAATAGATGACAATACCAAGGCTGAAGGAAGTTAAGTAACTTGCGTGTCACACTGCTATTTAATGTCAGAAGTAGAATTTGAACTTTGGTCTTTTTAGCATTCTATCCAATATACCACCTAGTTGCCTTAAATAACTAGCGTTTATAAAGTGCTTTAAGCTTCACAAAGCACTTATTTTATATGATGTTCAAATAATATTGAAGCTGATGCTATTATTAAAATGAGGAAATAGGTTTGACAGAGGTTAAATGACTTGTCCAGGGTTGCATGGCCAATACATGGCTGAGGCAAGTTTTTAATTCAGGTTTTCCTGACTGTATGTCCTACGCTCTCTGTCCACCATGCCAACTAGCTGCCTCAAAAACAACTGACTTGGAAAGCAGGAAGAGGGAATATCAGAAAAAATAGATTGCTGAAAAATTATGTTACCTTCCCTAAAATATACCATATGTCAAGAAATCATAAAGGAAAGCTGACCCAATCTATTAGAACTGTTTAATGCAAAGTGAAAATAGAATCTATTAGTCATCTCATGAAAGATACCCCAAAGTAAAAAATCCCAGGGTTATAGCCAAGCTTTAGAGCATTCAAGACAAAGAAAAATTACTGCTAGCAGCCAAAAAGAAAGAGTTTAAGTACCAAGCAACCATAGTCAGGATAATACATACTTGCATTTGACACTATAAAGAAGAGAGAAACTTAGAATATGACATTTTAAAAGGCTAAAGATAAAGACTTGCAACTAAGAACAACCTATTTTGCAAAACTGATATAATACTACAGGGGGAAAAAAGTGAGCCTTTAATGAACGAAATAAAGGACTTCCAAAAGTTTGAAGAAGGCCAGAACTGAGTAGAAATTTTGAAATGCAAATGCAGGACTCAAGAGAAATGGTTAAAAGTAAATACATTTGATCCATTGGAAAGAATTACATGACAACAAATTGTTTATATATTAATAAAGGGAGAAGAAACAAGTATCACTTCTTAGTATCTTCAAGGGTCATAGAGAAAGTTAATACATTCAGAGAGCTTGGGGTGTGATCTTGATCTATTTTGATGGTCTTAGGAGAAATAAATGAAAGAGAAAAGGGATTGTACTGGAGAGAGAAAAGGAAAAAGGTGAGGGAACTCAGTATCGCACATAGTAGGGGAGCATTGGAGGAAGAATATCCAAACATGGAGGATGGGGTTTGGAGCATGCACATCCCAGCAACCTTACTTTCATCTGAACAAGGAAGGTTGACCACATTAAAACATTAAAAGTGTAGTGTAGACATTGAATTGAAAAGCAAAATAGGCAAGGATAGTAAGAGGAGAATGGAACTTTTAGGCGGAAGGATAGGGTCAGGGAATAGTTATAAGCAAAACAAACCATAATGTTGGAGGTTGGATTGTAAAAAACAGGTTAAAGGAAAAGAGTGTAGAGAACTGTGATTGGGTCTGAGGGAAGGAGAATAGAAGAGGAACAACAGAGTAGAAACAGACTGCTTCAGTAATCATTAGTGTTAAGAAGACTCCTCTTTTACCACCTTCTTGACAAGGTAAAGAGAAGAAAAAAACAAAAGGGACAAGATAGAAGGAAATTATACAATTAACAGTCATAGTCGTGAATGTTATAAACATGTAAGAGGATAGCAGAATAGATTAGAAGATGGAATTCA